TTTTTTAAGGTTTCTAATGTGTTTTTAAACAATAATTGTGTAGTTTGCTGCAGAACATTGTGTAGTGTTTATAAAGTGAATCATCTCTGAAACAGGAGCAGACAAGAAATATTTCTCTGACTTGATCTTGTGACTACTTACTCTTTGTTTTAAGAGCAAATATTTTTTAGATGTTGAGATTTGTTTCTTCTCTGCTCATGTTTTTAAATCACCCATCTAATAATAGAAGATCTTAAGTTCGAATGCAAGCAGTGTAAAACTGTTCCTGCTTGTAGAGGTGTTAATGCAGTGTTTTCTACGGTGGCCCTAAGGTGTAAATTAACATTTGAAAAAAAAAAAAAAACAGAATTACATATGGAAAAACGAAATCACATTTGAAAAAAGCAGACTCACATTTGAAATTCTCTGTACTCCGGTGAAGACAGACGTGTTTTCCAGGCGCTCCGTACCCCCCGCTTCCCTTCTTGCACTCTTTCGTCCTGTGAACCCTTAAAGAGACTCTTTTTTTATAATCTGCATACCGTCCTAATTCGAAGGATCAGTTGGTCTCTCAACAAAATTGATCAACTTCTCCCGACAGGAGTCAGGGTAAGGAGGACCCTCTTACCTCGATGGAAACAATTTGTATTCCTGATGACAACTGGTTTTTTTTTGCTGTTTGGATGGTGAACTCTGGATTGTCTACAAATGTGTGTGGATGTGTCGAAGCTCGGCAGCACTCAGACTGAATTATGTGGAGTTGCGTCAGAGAGCTGGAGCAGCTGTTATCAGGACTGTGAACTCTCTAGCAGCACACATGAAGGTGGGAATAATCTTGGAGAAGCTGTGAGCTCGACTTTAAGGAATCAATTCGGCTGTTTGGAGTTTCCATTAGAGGAATATATACCAGCGAGACTTTAAAAGGCAGAAACAGCAATTCATGAGTTCTGCCTGACCCAAACTGTGGCCTTGATGACGGACTTATCTCAACTCCTCCTGGCATGTTTAGAAAAAACAAAGATGCTTTGTCTGTCTCCTCATCCCTCTCTTCCCCAAGGCCGTGGACATGTGACAGAACCTCAACCGAGCTGATGATGAACGTCACCTCTTATCTGGACAATGGCTGAGGGGGGGCTCTGGACTATGCTACGACTTTCCCTTAAAAAATGTATGTCTTCACCGGCCTATATGTAAATGTATAACATCTATCTATGTTGCTTTGCCGCGGTAGGTTTTTTGATGCCTCAAATTGTGCCCTGTCTAGGACACGGAGTGAGAGATCTTTTTTTTAATACCGTTTCTCCTCATGTTTTCTTTCCTTTTCTCATCTAAGCAAAATATTATTC